GTTTGAAGATGGTGAAATTAGGGTAGTAATCACAGTGGTAAGAAGGATCAAGAAGACCATAAATACAGCAAGGCAGCTTTTGAGACCTCTCTTCGTGGTCTTCATGGATTTTGATTCTGGCCGGAAGAGCGCGTTAAGCGGTAAAGCGTGGGATTTGAGATATCTATCAGTGAAATAATATATATTGATCAGTGTAGAAAACTGAATTGATTCTCTGGATATATGTTTCCTTGTAATAAGGATATAATGAGATCGTGATTCGTGAACGTTGCTGTAAATATGTAACTGATTTAGAGTGCAAAATTGAAATTTTCCAGTTCAGATTGGCATACGGAAGATAAATTAACATTAATAGAACTTATTAATGTCTTTATTATGGGCAACGAAGTTGACGACTATAATGGAGTTGTGTTTAATTTCTGACAGTAATCCTCATCATACGCGCGCGCTGATACAAAATTAAGCATAATTACTAACTTAAAAGGTCACATTCACAATTATATTTAAGATAATGGCCAATAAATACCGAGGCAAAGAGGACAAAATTAGAGCCACACCAGTAAATATTTTTGAAAAAATTATTCGTATTTCTGCTTTTCTATGATCATCCCTTTGATTGAGCTGGATCACATGCAGTGATTATAGTAAAGTGGATGGAAAGTGGGATGATCTTATCCGTTCATTCCATCTGATGGTGGGAAAGAGGTGAGTGCATGAACAACCTCATCACCTGCAAAACACTCAAACTTTTTTCTATAATAAAAATTACTGTCCAATTTGAATCCTAAAAAAGCATGAAAGATCTTAACAAATTTTTTAAAATATTCTGCAAAGATGGTAGAAAAATTGCTAAGATTTTTTTATATTTTTTTAGGATTTAAATTGCAGAGTAATTTTTTATTGTAGAAAATGTTTACTTGCCTTGTAGATGATAAGATTTTTGGTACATTCGTCCCTCCCCCACCATTAAATAAAATGAACGGATAAGATGATCATACTTTCCACCCACTTTGTCAGTGACCGTAGTGAACCGGATCAATATCCTCAACAATTTCACTTTTTAAGGTGTATAACCAAAAAGAGATCTAGTGGTAAAGTCAAAATAAAAATCAACATAAAAAGTTAGACTTAAAAATTCTGTTTAAATAAAGATTCAGGTTTTAAAAATTTAATTTTTATTAAAGTAATTGGGTTGATGGCTTAACCTTGATAAATCATGTGAAAAAGGATCCAAGCTCGAGCGACCCTGATAAGCTTTGATAAGTCAAATTATTTTATATATACGTATATACATACATGCATATATTTGACTGACAATGACACAATTTTGTTAATATTTATTGTAGGTAATGAATAAGAAGTTATAGAGATAATAGATATTAAATCTTCACCTCTATTTTTAACAAGTGGATTTACGTCTAAGAGATCTAATAATTTATTTTTAAATGAGGATGAGAAGGATTTAAATTTACATTAATAAAAATTAAAAATCTTCATCTTAAATTTAAAATTTTAAATCTTTGTTGAATTTTATCTGAGACTTTAATTTATTTTATGTTAAATTTTAAAATATTTTGCTTAAATTAAAATGTTAAATTTTTTTTGAAAAAGAGGGTTTAAGAACCCGACCCTGAACCTTGTAAATAAGAGCCAGACTTTAAAATTAAATCAAATTTTAGGTATTTGAACTTTAGGACATAAGCTTTTAAGAGTTGGGCTCATAAGGGTCAGGTTCACCTGATTCTTACCTCTATCTAGTGGGCCCAAAAAGCAGTATAATATATTTCATTTTCTCTTCAAATACATATATATGGAGAGTATCATCATTTTTACATCGTTTTCTCTTCAAATTCATACAATTTGCAAGTGTTTTTTTCCCCGAGCTATGGAAAAAAAAAAAAAAAGCTTGACGTTTCTGCATCGTTTTAAATTTATCATAAAATCTTAGATAATCTCTTAACGTGCGAAAATACACTCCCCCCCCCCACTTAAAATACGCTTTTATTATTGTCTAATTAGAATTTTGCTCAAAAAAAAAATTGCCTACTTGGATTGAACGAAATTTTAAGATGTCCTAATCATGACACCAAAAAAAAAAAAAAATCACTGGAATCAATTTAAAACGATACAAAACGTCAAACTTTTTTTCCATAGCTCGGCGAAAAAAAACACTTGCAAATTGCATCCTTAATCATATGATTTCTGTCACATTCACCGAATGATCTGGATGCAAGTTTACATTGCTGGTGTTAGTCAAATGTTTTTTGTTTGCTTTGCCTGAGTTAGCAAGTGCAAAATAGTTCTCATAGTTTTCTCGTTTCTGGTTCCCGAACGATGAACCCATTGGTGCATTGAAAAGGGGAAAACATGATTAAAGTTTCGAGAAAAGTATTATAAGAAATACTCCCTCAATCTCAATTTATAAGATACTTTTAGATAAAATTTCACATATTATTCAATACACTTGATAATCTTATTTTTCCAAAATAAAAATATAAATTTTTAAAAATGCCTATCATTTAAAATATTAAAAAGAAAAAAGATGAAAATTAATTACAAGAGAGAGAAATGGTAATATTGAAATTGTTACATTTAATGAAACCTTAATCTATCAAAATGTCTTATATCTTGAAATGGAAAAACTATTTTAAAAGTACTATATAATTTAGAACAAAGGTAGTACTTAAGTAGACCAAGCGTACTACATTATTTATGGTCTATTCAATAAAAATATGACATTTAAATGATATTAAAATATAAATTGATTATAGTATTAATTATAGTAGAGAGAGAAAATGTAAAAATATATGTATTTTATTATAAGAATAAAACCAATTAGAAAATATTATACAAAATTTAATTCAAATTATTTAAAATATTTTAATTAAATAAATTATAAATGACATGATATACTTAATCTACTTAAAAATTTTTCATGTGTTATATCCCATTCAATGAATGCAGTTACTAATCCTTATTCAAATCACGTTTCTATAACCATCGTATATCCCATGATCCGATCGTTATTCGTGAAAAAGTATCTATTCGATAAAATTAAATAAATTAAATTTTAAGTTTGGACTTTGAGGATGAAGAAAAAATACATTAAAGTAGCAATCAACCGACACAAGCCATTTTCAAGCTCTTTTTTTGGGGTTTCCTCTCTTAGGTACTTTCTGAGGAGTATGTTTTCGTTCCATCTAATGATGTTATTAGGATAAAGATCAACTCAGTAACACGAAGAAGCTTAAGCGGAAAGAAAAATTTGATTTTATTATTATTATATATTTTATTAGCCAACTATATTTTTGAAACGATATAATTAAAAGCAAGGGCCTGAGAGCTGTATGTATTTATTATTTCGAGAATTGATATTTTCTAAAACATATTTTGAAAACAAAATGATAATAATAATAATAATAGGTTTTTTAATATCTTTTATTTTTTAGAATAATAATTCTAAAATATTTGAAAGATATTTTTATTTTTCAATTCTTCAAAATAATATTTTATTTTTTTATTATTTAAAATACTTTTTGGAAAATAAGTTAACAAGTTACTAAATAAGCTCATATCATTAGAATCTCTGAAGGACTCACAAAGTACATTCTTTTTTATTATGTATAGGTATTTTTTTCTTGGAAATAACACCATTGGAGGTATGATTAGATATTAAACGTGAGCACCTATTTTAATGAAAATTTAAATTTTATTTTATCACATTATCAGAAATTAATTCATTCCACTAGATCAAACCCTTTTGAAACAAAGTCTACTCTTATGATAGAAGCAGCATACATACTCCAATCTTGCATCTTTTTTTTCTTTTTGGGTGACACCTACATCTATACTTTTATTCGTATATAAAGTAGCACTAACTGCACTGTTAATAAATTATGAATACTGTAACGGTGTTGATAATAGAGTTTCCACCTAAAATAATCCCAACTTAGTTTGATTTAAATTAGTATACATATAAGCCTTGTTATAGTACAGTACCCTGACTTTGGCCCAAGAGATCGGGTGTACCACGAAAAAAGAGAGAGGGAATACTGCAACTTCTTTTGATTTATGCCACACATGCAAATACACATGGATCTTCTATTAATTAATGTCACGTTTTTTCTTTTCGTCATTTTATTTATATATGTACATGGTGTATGCTATTTGAATTGCAACTCACATATAGTAAAAATTAACAAGTTATATCATGTGTGTGTATGAATATATGCATTTTTTTAATTTTAATTTATTCTATAATGTAAAACTATATTCAAATTATTTTATTTTCGAATACATCACGTAGAGGAATAAAATTATTGATCCAGGATCCCGACATTAGCTCCTAGCGTTGCATGCTTCCCCATCTGCGCTGCTTCTTTAAAGTTATGCTGCGTCGACTTGTTAGGAAAGAAAAAGCCGGGCAAAGGGACCCAGTAGCATTGTGATATTTTTTATTTAAAAAATCAATATAAATAAATAAAATATAAAATTTCCAACAAATAACATTCCGCTCATCATTTTGTATCGCTCTCGTATGTTTGGTTATTAACTGTAGGAGTGCCTTAACTTAATTGTGTCTACACATTTGTGTCGTATTGAACTCGAATGAAATTGCATAAGCGACTCCTTAGAAGTGAAAATGCCGCATATATTGATTTTTCATAATTATAAAAATAATTTTATATAATGTTAAAAAATAGATTACAAATGAGTTATACATATTTTTATTTTTAAATAACGTTTTTTTTAAGTAGATGATTATATTTTGTAAAGAATTTAATATATGACTCTATCAGATTTGTGTCATTTTTTAATAATTTCGTCAAAAATGATTAATTTTTGCCATAAAATATAATAATAAAATTAAAATAAACTCCGTTAACCAAATTCCAAATGAATTAACAAATCAATAATGAATGGCTTTGGTAAAAAAGTTCTTAAGAGATTTTGTTTTTTTGGGCCCGTATAAGAGAAATTAATAAATTAACGCCAACGAAGAGATTCGGTCGTATGTAACGCCTTTCGTGCCAAAGCGTTGGTTGTCTCTTTGTTGTTTCGCCGGCCACCGTTCAGCAAAGCATTATTACCGTCTTAAGACTTCGATCTTTGTATCTTTCCCTTTCTTGGTCTGCACAATCTCTTATTCTATTTCTCCTTCGTCCTCTATGCCCGTTTTGATCTAATCAAGATGAACGACCTGCTCTCTGTGAGTTCTATCAAATTCCATTAACCAAATTCCACATGCTTGTATATTTCATCAGTTCGTGTTTGATTACTGGGTTTTTTTGAGTTTCAATTTTAGTTTTCCGTTTCGAATTTTCTGCTTTCGCTCTGATTCTGAGTGTTTGGTTTGACACTATGTCTGCACTTTTCAGTATCACTTGATAGTGTGGTGCTCTCCCTCCCCGTCACCTCCCCTCCCTTAAATTTAATGGGAGATTATCGTGTTTGATCTTTAAGGGGATTAGAAATTAGTCAGAGTTTCCCTAAAGATACCGTCTTCCTTTGACTATCAATTTCCATTGTGAAAGTTCGAAGCTCGCCTCATTGTGATTATAGTTGTAGCATGCTTTGCTATTTTAACATTGCTGCCTGCATTGGACCCCATAAGGAAGGAAGCCAGGGGAAGTTGATATAATTCTTTGGTTTCTAGGATGAATTCTGAAAGTAGTTTTGGGTCTTTCTTCTGACATAATTTTTACTTTGGTGTGGAGTTAAGCATTATGTTGTTCTTCCACCTTAAAGTTTATAGATAAGGTTGTCCTATCTAAATTGCTTTCTTGTAGGATTCATTTGTTGGCGACAGTAAGGGCCAGCCTTCTCGACAAAGTGATATTGAGATGGGAACCCAGAACAACCATGATATGGGAATGGATGCTTTTAATAAGCAGGTGCACAATTTTCGTGCTATTTAAGCTTTGCTGATTCAACATGTTAATTTGCCTCTTTGGCTCTGTACAAATTTCTTTTCTGATATAATTAAAGCTAATGTGAGTCTTTGGGGATCAATCAAAGTGATCAAACTTTCAATTACCTTGTCTTGTCTTCTTTTTCATCAATGAGTTTGTTAACATTTCAGTTGAATATATTACTTTCACTAATATATATTTATTTTGGTTGTAGATTGAGGAGGCTAATAAACAGGTTGATAAGCTATCTGGGCTACTAAAAAAACTAAAGGCATGCATTTTTTCTTCGTCATATTCCTTATTGTTACTGGCAGCAAGATCTCATAGGTTATGGTCTGTAAATCAAATCTTCTCCTTGCTGATACTTCATGTAAGTTACATGATTTTGTAAATAAGAACAAAGATTATAAAACTCATTGAATTTGGGTTATATAATTTTTTATCAAGGATTTGGTGAGAATTTATACTTCTGTTAGTGTTTAGATTCTTTCTCAGGTCATTAGTACTAGCATGACGTATTGTTGATGACTTATGGTGTAAGGGCACTTGTGCCTGGTCACACTCAGTATTATGTAGATCCTTCTGGTTAGCATACATAAAACTATATTGTTCGATTTACTTTGTGCGGCTGAAACTCATGCAAGTTCCACTCTACATCACAGTGATCATGGACTATTCCTGTCATCCTGTGTTGATTTGTTGGTCCTTGGGGGCTGGGTGGACAGATAATCAAATAATCTAATTACTTTTAAGTGAAAAGAAAAGGCACTATAGTAAAATATATCATAAATTTGTCAAAATTGAGCTTGACAGTCCATTCATTGTAAAGTTCTACAAGAACCTTCAATAGAACAGATTTTCTTTTTTTTTTTTTAATTAACTGTTAAAACAGTTTCTCCTTTGAGTGTGATATGCTCCTTACTTACAGCTTCAAAACTATTTTATGCTAATTTGAAATTTAGTTGTCATTTCAGAATTTTTAGATGTTTATTAGTGCTTCCTCAGATGATAACTTTTACATGTTAGTAAGCGGGCTTTTTACAGGAAGCTAATGAGGAGTCCAAATCTGTTACAAAAGCTTCAGCCATGAAAGGTATATTACGGTGCCACTTCTTTTTGTTAATATCAGAACTGAGTATGCACCTACTTGTGTTGCAACCAGCCAGTTATTTTAGATGCATAACAGTTTCCTTGGCAACTGTGAGAGGAGAAATAATTATTGCTGTTTAACAATCCATCTATTGGATGTTGAATTTTTTTCTTGATGACACTAACGGAGTTGTGAAATTGTTTTAGCTATCAAGAAGAGGATGGAAAAAGATATTGATGAAGTTGGAAAGATTGCACGTACAGTCAAAGCAAAAATAGAAGCTATAAACAAAGATGTAATGGGATACTGGACAATTATTCTTTTATTAGATTCCAGCGATATAAAATATAAGGAAATTTGAATAAGGATGTAATCATGTATTGTTCTGTGTATGCAGAACCTAGCCAACAGACAAAAGCCTGGTTGCGAGAAGGGAACTGGAGTTGACAGAGCGAGGATGAACATGACAAGGTTAGTTCCCTGGATATAACTTCATCATTATACTTCATAAAGCAAACTAGAAAGCTGACGTTTTCCCCACTTGAAATGACAGTTCCTTGACAAAAAGGTTTAAGGATCTAATGACAGAGTTTCAGGTATGGTAGACTGTTCACGTTAATAGCTGGCCATCCAGATTTCAACTCTATCTTCTCATAGATGTATTATGTTTCAGACTCTTAGACAAAGAATACAAGATGAATATCGTGAGGTTGTGGAGAGAAGAGTTATTACAGGTTTAAATATTCTATCTTGTGACAATTAGTATTGTAACAGTATGGTATTACAATTGTTCTTTTGTTTACTTATCTATTAAGTTTATCTTGTTCATATGTTTTCCGATTTGTGATTGTATGGTTTGAGTAAACAGTCACAGGAACTAGACCAGATGATGAGGTAAGCCTGAAGCATTAATTTGTGATTTGAACAATACTGAATGTAAATTTTGTTGTAATTGGCTCAGTTTAATGACTGTTTTAGACAATTGACCACCTGATAGAAACTGGAAGCAGCGAGCAAATCTTTCAGAAGGCTATGCTAGAAACAGGACGAGGACAGGTACTTGGTTTGTGATGCTAGTTATGAATACAATTAGACATTTTTCTTAGTTTTTGTTTTTATTTGAAAATGAACGAGGTATCCTTCCATCTTTCTCACTGCGTTTCTATCTACCTACTATTCTCAGATGGTGTGTTTTGAAAAAGTTTTTCGGAGCTTTACTATTTATTGAGAAGTAGTAGTTCCAATGGGACGATCATTATGGGTTTGTTAGGGAGTTTAATTGTAAGTTGCTCCTCTGTGATTGAAAAGTGGTGTTAATGGATTGCTTTTTTGGTGGAAATGCCATCATTTATGACAATGAAGCCATCCCCTTGAAACCAATCCAAAGAAATAAATCCTCACTGAGATGTATGGGTCACGCTGGAAAGCTACTTAGTTGGACTTTTGGAACCCATGGACAATATACTTCATACCTGTTATCTTGTTGGTTTTTGGTTCCTAGTCTTATTTTATTCATAGTCTTGACTGGGGCTTTACAAGTGATATAGATTTTTTCATAATGTGATATAGAGGGAAGTGGTGCAAAAGTTCTGCTAGTGTTCACTAACTTTTTGATATATTTGGTTCCTATTCTTGTTTAATTCATAAAATTGGGGATATCATAGGTGTTAAATACAGTGGAAGAAATTCAGGAGCGACATGATACTGTGAAAGAAATTGAGAAAAGGCTTCTTGATTTACACCAGGTTTACCTGCACAAAGATCCTAGTCTCACGTTTTAATAATTTAGATGATGATGATTCTAATGCTATATATGTTACTTCTCAGATTTACCTTGACATGGCAGTGTTAGTTGATGCTCAAGGAGAAATTTTAGATAACATTGAAAGTCAGGTTTGCTTGTGTTCTCACTCCCCTGATTTTGTGATTGTGTATGCTTGCACATGGAATGCGAAGAATTTTTAGTTGAATTTGCATTAATCAGAACCTTATTCAGGTCAACAATGCAGTCGATCATGTCCAGAGAGGGACATCTGTGCTACAAAATGCTAAGAAACTGCAGAAGAACTCTCGAAAATGGATGTGCATTGCCATCATTATACTATTGTTGATAGTAGCTATCATAGTTGTTGGTGTTATCCAACCTTGGAAGAGTAGCAAGGGCGCTTGAGTGTGCTACTATGCTCCTTGTGCATAAATATAGAGTAGCATGATTAGTTGAGATTTGCAAATTTTCACGAATTAGTCAGCGGCACATATTGCTTTCATGTTTATTTTGTCTGACACCTGGTCTGTTATTGCTGATGTGATTGACTTGACTTCTGACTTATTTATACATGGTTTCTTGCCTCAAAAGACCCATTCCTAGTAACCTTCATGAATCTGAATATTTGACGCTTATAAAAAGGAGAAATAGGATTCCTACATAGTCTTATATTCCCCCCACTCATTGTCTCTTCCAAGACTGTAGAAGATCCAGAATTTCATTTGCTTTGCTGATTGTGTTGCCACTGCTAATCTCTTGAAGAACCCCCTCTTAGATTTTTTTTTCCAAAAATAATATATATATAGAGAGAGATTGATGTGGAAGTAATGGAGTATATTTAAGGGGCTTCCCATGACCTTCGGGAAAAGGAGGGGAAAAGGAGAGGAACTGATGTGGAAGCGGTTCTATTTTAACTTTTGAATTGATTAATTATCTTGTAAGGTTATTTGGTCGGTAGCATAATTGAATTACTACAATTAAATATATTTCATTATTTGTCTTTTTCATATGCAAAGTAATAATTGTTTTTAAAAAAAAAAACTCTAATGCTTCATTCTTCCTCCTCATACCCTTTTCAAAAATTTCTCATCTCATCAAACATTAACAAGAATACTGTTTTCCTTTCAATTTAATCATGATTTTGGCGCACAGCTTTCAGTCACTAGTGGTCCACACAACCAGTCACTGTTGGCAATGGCGTAAATTGTACCAGGCTCCCAATAAATAAGGCTATGACTTATCCTTGATAATAGGGCATCGGGTTGGACAAACTGTTGCATTAGTGATTAATCATTGCCAAGTTCCCCTGAAAATGCATCAATTTTCTCTGCATGTCTCTTTGTGCCTTGTGCATAATATTAGCACTTCTTTGCTAGTGTTAGTTTCTTGAGCAAGTGGACAAATTTTGAAATGTCAGTTTTCCATCAATAGGCACTTCGACAAGAAAGATTGCCCCTTATTTGTGACCTCTAACCCAGCCGTGATTTCCGAAATGTAAGTCTGGTTCTCAAAAGTCGTCATTTTACCTGCCCAGCATGATTTTGCTTTCTGATGTCTCTTTGGATTCATCTAGTGTGGCATTATCTCCTTATATCTCTCTCACTAGTCACCACCCTACCCTCTATTCCGCCGGTTTCTGTTATGGCAAGAACAAATAATACCATGTTTCTAGAACATCGCATAGTGCCATCATTCTCATCAAATACTTTGGTAGAAAAGGATAGGGCACTTTTTGGGTCGGCAAAAGGAATCAAGAAATACATCTGCTCAACACGTCCTCCGATTAAGACTTATCTGTCGGTGCCCCTGCTAAACTCGTTTCCATTTTTATTTGATATTTCATTGCTTGTAAGAGATGGATTATTTTGCTGGTAAGAAACAGGGAACTTTTCAATAACCCAATATCTTATGATTGAGTTGTTTAAAAAACGTTTCCTATATTTTTATTAGATACTTGATAACAGACAATTGTCAAAAGAAAAAAAAAATCATTTCCTTCTGACCAATATAACTGAGCTTCACTTATAATGCCTTGGCAAATTCGTGCTAATCCTTTTTAAGACTTAACGACATTCTGTTTTAAACAGGTGGCAAATGCAACTGATCATGTGAAATCGGGTACAGATGCTCTCCACACTGCAAAGACTTTGCAAAAAAGGTCAAGGAAGTGCATGATGATTTCCATTATTCTTCTCCTGGTCATCGCCGTTATTGTGGTACTCTCTATACTTAAACCATGGAAGAAGTAACCAGAAAGAGAAAAAGTAATTTCCAGCTCAAAGAACTGCTTTATGTCAATTTTCCCCGTTAAATGTGCGCTTTGACAATTGTTTCCTAGGGCGAGAGCTTGTTGCTTGTCCAGCCTGTTAAATTTGCCTTCTTTAAGTTACATGCAAAATTAATGCAGAATAAGATTGCAATTTTCTATTTTCTTTTCTGGAAATTTAAGGAAAATGCAATGTAGCAATCCACTGCTCTCAAATTTCTGACCTGGTTCACCACCTTCTGTGAGAGTCATGTATATTTTCAGTTTCAGTAGATAAAATGATTTCTGGAAAACTAAGCAGGGCATCAGACTCTTAAAAGCTAGCACACGGAGGTAAGCTTGGAATCTGTTGAAGACATATATATATATATATATATATTGAATAACATTAAATGATTGAGGGTGATTAGAAAATACAGAAAAGGTGGAATCAGAGAGATGCCAAAAGTTTATAGCAGATATGACCAAAAAACTGCAATTGTGCTTTTATCAAGTAAGATCTTATTTAAGTTTCATAAACCTTGGAATGAGCTGAAACTTTGACGGTCTTAACATCCATTCTCTGCATTGCTGGTTTCGGCCAATTATTGTATGAGATGATTTTGTTGGTGGAAAACATTTCGTTGAACACTACAACACAAGATTAATATTTATGATTGCGCTGGAATAAATATAATATAGATTATGAAATACCAAAAATTCCCCATGTCTGATCATGCAGACCACATGTTTTAGCAAGCCAATATCAAAGAAAACCTGGGGGCAGGGCCCCAAGCAATTACTATTCTTGCTTATCCTTGAAATGGGTGGTCACTTAAATATTGCATATTCCTTGAATATGAAAGAGAAAGACTGGAGAATTAAACTTCACTATCCATATGCCATGAAGGGCAATGAACTATTCTGTAAGTTTGATCATTTCTATAAGAAATAATAGGTAACAGAAAAGGTAACACCTTCAAGCTGTTACAACCATATCAAAAGAGCTCCAGTTTCAGACCCCTATTTCCATCCTCTAGATGTTGATTCCATCTATACTTAAGTAATATATTCCCTTTCCAATTGTTTCCTATTATGTTGACATCCTTCTAATAATATTTCTAAGATCAGCAAGAACTACATACTCTACTGCTCCTATTGATAAGGTGCAGAGAGAAGATTTACTTTAGTCTTATTCATAGGACACTTAAATAATTATTATATCTATTTTTACTCTTTTACCCCTATTCAATTGTGGGCAGATTATTAAATGCCAAAGTATTTTATTTTCAGAGTAGATATATTTGATAGGGGTAAAATTGAAAACTTATTGAATGTTTAGACAAAGTTAATGAGATTTGAAGTTTCCTTGGTTTTGATGAAAATGTTGGAAGTGACTTATAAATAGGATCAGAAAGAGTATTTATAACAAAGGCACATCATCTAAGCCCCAAGTTCCATTGCAATTTAAGTTGTGATGCTTTGAATATCAGCTTGTGAGAGAATACATACACCTTCTAACAAAGCTTTCTCATCCCTCCCTTACCTAAGTTCATTCGCTCAATCTCTTGTTAGAAGGGAAAACATGGTTTGGAAAGAAAGAACAGGTTTTTTTTTTTTTTTTCAGGGGGGTTTTACTGTTATGTTAGTTGCTATATGATTCATCTAAAGATATAAGGACATTACATTTTATCTTCCCTTTTATGATGGACAAGCATCGTAAGGAGTACTGTTATAAGAAAATAGATCTGAACTTTCCCCATACATCTTCAATTTCAAGAGAGTCTTTGGGTGAATATCCACATCTATGTCACTCAAAGGATGGATTCTTTGGCTGATATATCAAAGAGAGATGTCTTACATTCAAAGAAGAAATTGATCACATTATTTTACTCTTTTAGTTAATGAATATTCATATTATTATACTTTTTCACTGTCAATCTATGTATTAAACAACAGGTCTTTGATACTGCTAGCTACAGTCCTACAAGCTACAACCATAAACATTGTCAAGAATAGTATTATTATTAACTGATTATCCATCCATAAGTTTAATATCTAGTCAACACTCAACACCCCAAAACTATCTGTAACTTCACTATAGCAGACAGATGCCTAAGAAGTAAGAAAATCTCAAGTGGAATTCTTACATGTCATGGTTAACTTCCTATTTAACAAAGCTACTTAAACCATGGTATTTAAAATTGAAAACATGGATAATTATGAAACGATACAAAGACAAAATGAAAAAAATGCATGAATTCTATTTATATGAAAATCTTGAGCTAGAAAGAAGGAAAACACAAAATTCTGCAGAAACATGATATATGAGCAAATAAACAAGGTACATGCATGTCTCTATTATTTGTGTGATATTCCCTTCTTACATGATCTTTCTGTATCTCGTCAACTTCTGTTGCAATCAATTTCTATCACCTTGTATGCATCTGTACCTAATTAGTCCTCATAAACCATGAATTGTATGCAAAAAAAGTAAAATATCTCTCTTCCTGCATAAAGCATTGTCTGAACGCTGCTAAAGGAGCTATCAGACAGAGTGGGGAAAAATACAGGCAGTGCACAAAGAATTAGCAGGGAGATATGATGGTCTGTGGATTCTCCAAATGCATGTGAAACAGAGCCTGTGGGATGCTGGGTAGAGGGGCCCAGGAGGGGCCCAGGGGAGTTTTGTGCAATGAATTGTTTTTTGGATTTCTAAAGGTTTGAAATGACAATTTTGTAACTTAAAATGGCACAAATAACAAGTGAATTGAAACAAAGCACCATACATTAATATGCAACAAGCATTAGTAGGTTTGAAGAGCATTATACCATGTAGCAAGCAGAAAATACATCAATCCATCATCATTCAAGGAAACTAAGCAGTTTGAAAGCGGAAAACCAAAATATCCTAAGCTGGGAAGGATAAAGCAATGTTAATGGCAACTTATGAAAAATTAATTAGGAAATAAGGTGCAATGGATGTTATTTTCTCAAGAAAATTTTCACAAACCTTGGCATTTTGTGGTCAGTATGGTTTATCCAAAATTCCGAAATTTGATTCAAGTAAGCAAGTAAACATCGAGAGCCTCATAATAGTTTCGATTTACATTAGTCTGAATCCTATACTAGTAAGCAGATATATCCAGAACACCTATTAATAACAATCGAAGTGGGCAATATAAAAGCAGAGACATGGGAGAAACTTGGGAATCTAAGCATTCATGTTCAAGCTTTTGCTTCCTCATCAGATCAGCAAAACCAAACTAACCTACACGCAGGCAAGAAGGAAACAGAAATACCGAATAATTTGTTTCACAGCCATTCTTACCTTTTATTTTCCTCAATAGCCAACAGCATATAATAAAATTTGCTTAGATTGATCAAATTTGAGCAAAGGATCTGATACAAATTAAAGTGACTGAATACTAAACATGTAACAGGTCCAAAAAGAAAATAACAAGAGCTTCGAAAATTCGACGCCTCGTGGAGAAAAGAAAAGATAGTTTGAAGCAGAAAGAAGGTTAAGCTTGTACCTTGGGAAAATTATTCATCGGATAAGATCTATCTTCGGATCTTCGACTCCAACGGCCTACAAATCCTTTTGGCCAACCAAGTGCGACCCATCTCTTCTGATTGATGGCGTTCAGTGTAGGGGAGAAGAGGAAAAGAGACATTTGCGAGACAGCGACAGTGGATCTTACTTCGGAAGACAGGGCGAGTTAGCTAAGCTAGCGTGGCAAGTAATGCGCGAACAGTGCCAACGCAACCAAACCCATGGCTTCAGCTTATATGTAGAGATGGATAGGGCTTGTTAGTTTTACTAATTTATTTTGTGAATTTTTATGATAGTTTTTTAAATTTTTAAAAATAATAAAAACCTAAAAAAAGCAGCTGAAGAATATCTTTTTAAAATAATTTAATAGAGTAAATGAAAGAGGATATTTAAATAAGCAAAATACTCAAAATATCATAAAATTTATAAAAAAATAAAAATTATCATAAAATTTAAAATTAATTACTAATAATCACTTTTTATTATTGTGACCAACATAAAATAATATAAGTTTTTTATAAATTTTTAAAATATTTAAAAATTACTTATTTTTTAATCTAAAAAAACAAGCAAATATATAATAGTAGTTTTAGCTTTAGGTCGTTTAGTAGGTGAGAAAAAAATTAATGTTATTATTTAAAGTTGCATAAAAGAGGGCAGTGCAAAATTTTGACTTAACTTGAACTCTGATCTTTTTAATGAAAGTGATCGAGTTAAACAATCTGTAATTTAATATAGTCCAAACTTAACTCAAAACTAGATAAGTCTGAATTTGATTCATATGATTAGGTGATTAGTTTGATAAACTAATATCTCACTTTACTCTTTTATTTTTTCCCCTTCGCTCTATGAAAGACAATAATTAATTTCAACTTGATAAATTCAACATGTCTAAACTGCATTATAATAACATGTTAACAATAAATTTTAACCAATCTTTATGCAATTATCTCCCATAGCATTAAGTGTGCTCGATACATCTGTTAAAAATAAATTATACATATGTACATAAAGTGATTAGTAAATATAATAATGCAGTATATCAATTAGTGAATAACATGAGCCACACGAATCAACGAAGAACATGAATGCAAATAAGCGAAGATGAGAACTCATTCGGATAGTGAAGAAGCAGCACGACGGGTAGCGAAGAAATCTTTACTAGCAAAGGTGCGAACTCTTCTCGACTGGGGGCGTGAGGGAGGCTAAGGCTAGATTGCTAATTCTTGACTTCTTGTGTCTTGCAGTGTGAAGATGAAGACTCAAGAGTGAATGAGTAAACGCTAGAGAAATTAGGAAAGGAAGTGGGAAAACTATGCGTCGAACTCAACACTCAAGCTTCACATTACAATTATAATTATATTAAAATAATTTTATAGGGTCAGACAATACCAAATAATCTAAAAGCTTAGTTTATTGTTGGGTCCAATCAAAAAATGAAGTTCAATCTAATTAGTTTTTTAGTCATTCAGGTTAATTTTTTTTATAGGACAAGATTGAATTTATCCAAGCTAGACCGAGTTGTACAAACTTAGAGAACTTTTGCACATCCCTATTTGTATTAGCTCTATAAAAGGATAAATAGACACTTTCTCACTTAATTTTACATTTAACACAAAAGAAAAACTTTGAATGCCAAAAATAACAGTTGAATTCTTTAATACTCTCTCGTATTCTCAATATAAGGTAAATCTTAAAAAAAATTTAGTTTTTAATACAAGCAAAGTTACGTTGGCCAAAAAGAGAGTAAAGTTAGAATAATTATTTTTTAATTTTACTCCTTATTTATTTATTATAATTTGAATTTCCAGACAAAAATTATTATAATTTCTTATTAATTCCATTATCTATTTTTTAAAATAATATTAATAATATAATTACTATTTTTAATAAATATGAAGTTATTTAAATTTGTCTTGCATTAAATCTAAAGGAGTTCGATGAGCATCGGGAAGGAGGGAAAAAATGAAAAACAAAAGTATCTTCGAGGGTATCATTTCAAGCACTCAAGGGTTAAACCAAATGAAACAACATAAACAAGTTCTTTCGTTCTCCAACACAAAATCGAGAGATTTAACGCGCGTTTCAGAAACAAAACAATAACAAAATGACTCAACAATATAGTCCAGACAATTATAATTCCTGCACATTTATGCCAATCTTTTTTTTTTGGCCAAACACATTCATTCCAATCCATAAAATACTTGAATTGGTTGGTTGGTTCTACATTCTGGCCTCGGCAACGACCACAGTCCCTCCCCTACCTATGTCCACAGTTCCGGGTCTAGTCCATGTTTGCTTGAATTGCTCTTCAGTTACTCCTGCAAAACACCATCAAACCAAAAAAAAAAAAATGATCATAAAGTTCCAATCTTCATTCACAAAAGATTATATTTCTTAACGACTTGCCTTTGCCCATTGCAGCAGCAGTTGATGCCACACCTCCCTGCACAGTCTTGAGGTACTTATCATAATAATTAGCACCTGCCCATTTCTGATGAGCAAGCGTGTCAACCATATTATTCCTCTCCTCTCTCTGAATCTTCTCCACATAAGCCAGCATTCCCCTGTTTGCAAAATCCCTTGCAAACGTTGAAGTGATGAGTGCATTAGAGTGTAAACCACCCACTGTTATGAACTGCCACACGTACCCCAACTTTGCAATTCTGGGTATGAACTCAATCATTTGCTCATCAGTCATATCAGAAGCATCCCAGTTAAATGAAGGAGAAAGATTATACCCCAGCATCATCTCCGGGTATTTAGACTTAACCCCTTCAGCAAATTGAGTACACTCAACCAAATTAGGGCGTGAGGTTTCCATCCATAACAAATCAGCATGTGGAGCAAAAGCCCATCCACGAACAATTGCTGCTATAACAGACCCTTTGAACCTGTAAAACCCTTCTCTTGTTCGAGGCAACTCCCAGTCCCAGAACAGGTTTCTCACGCCCAATTTCTCAGCAATCTCTCTTCCTTCCTCGTTGGACAGGTTCTTCTCATAACTCGAATGTCGCGTCCATTCATTCAACCTCCTTTTCTTATCTTCTTCCCCTATGTTCATGCTCTTAATTGCATCCTCAACTGCCTCGAAAAAAGTTTTCAACTTTGCCATTGTTAGCCACTGATCTTCAATAGCCTGAAGCTCAGCTCCGTTTTTCCCCGCAGCCATATTCTCCGCCATAAGAGTGGCCAAGCTTTTTCCTCTCAGGCTCGGGTTGGTCGCCCCCAGTATAAACTGATGGTCTCTTTTGTCTATATTAGACTGAATCAGATTAGCTGCTTCTGCATCAGTTCGGGCCACCAGTACCGTTTCCACTCCCATTACATCAAATTGCAGCCTCGCAGCCACAAGCCTGTTGATGTGTTCACTGATAGCTACTAGAACCTTTCCTGCCATGTGACCACATTTTTAGTCACAGAGGATTGATCTTCGATGTGGACCCCAGCAGCACCACGCTCAACGAAAAGCTTGCACAGCTTGATAGTGGCCGTAGTGCCTCCAAAGCCAGTATCGCCGTCGGCTATGATGGGTCTCAAGTAATCAATGTAAGGGCTTCTGGTTCTCTCTCTCTCTGCTCATTCTTTCTTTCTTCTCTCTGCTTTCGGTCATGAAACTGCTGGGCGAAGAATAGGTGCTCAACCTGACGGAAGTCATGATTATGAGCACACGGAAATATTGATCGAAATCTATTTCTCTTTGAGGGACATGATATGATAGGACTGATATTAACCTTGTTGGGGACGGTGTCGTAAGGGTAATCGGCGAGGTCCGGGCCGGGTTCGTTGGAGGTTGCGGCGGTGGAGGAGCACTGCCAGCCAGAGACGTAGATGGTATCCAAGTGGTGAGCCATTTGGGTGACCTGAACAGGGTCGAGTGCACCGAAGGTCCTCGAGGCTGTGCCATTGGCTTGGTGGCTCTTGAAGGTTCGCCATAGCTTCTTGGCCATATCGTTGGACCCATAGGTTTGCTTGAGATTGCCTCGCAGTGCCACAACGTCCCTCGCTGAGTATGGTCGCCGGGTTAGCCTGAACCTCTCTGAGTTCCACCATGCTTTCACCTCTGCTACTTCCGCTTCAAACCTTGCTTCCTCCTCCATTATCTGTTTATAAAACTAGCTTTTAGGAATAACTTCAAGAAAGCACTGGGATTTAGTCATTGTATCACTTTTAAGTTAACTTTCTATCAAACTCTGCAGAAATATGCGTTGTCTTTGGGACCATCATTCACAGCCCGTTATTTTCTTCTTCATTTTTACCCTGTTTAAGGATTTAATTAAGATAGAAATTGAAAGTCAAACCAGAGTGGTTCAGAATCAGATTCTTGATATTGTTAGCTAATTTACTATTGATCTGCAGGATTTTCCTTGACGGAATTTCTTCTAATCCAAACAAAGCAAATATCAGTTCATGTACTTATTACAGCTAGTGCTAAATTCTCTGTTTTAGAGCATTCAGAGTTGAGAATCCCAGACTTCTGTGATTGATATCCCCTCATTTTAATGAAGGAAAGCTAGGATAAACCGTTGCATACTCCGAGGCTTTAGGGTTTGAGAACAGTTCTTGGAGGTCAAGATAAAAGTTTTATATGTCTATTTGTTTAGCGCTATCAAGATTCTCTGTTTGAATGCTAAACCGTGCATTCTGATAAATTAAACAATATTAATCTGAATTTGCCGTTACAAACTTGTTTCGAAGTATGTGAGTTTTTTAAGACAACTGATAGTTTCGAAAACTTAGGAACTTGATGCTCATGACTTTGCACAAATTAACAAAAAAAAAAAAAAACTATTAATGTATCATCAATATATAAAATAAAATTTATATATGGTATGGTGTATTGTTTATAAATTATGAAATGTGATTCAATGCAAGTTTCATGCAACAACCACGGCTCCCACACCATCTAATTATTTTTAGGGAGAATTGTATTTAAAATTCCCAAAAAATTATTTACAAATAAAGACCAACTACAAGTCAGTAGGTAAAAAAAATAAGTTATTATTACCATTTTAACAACAAATTAAACAATATTATATATTAATCTTTGTCTGCAAATAATTCTTTTGGGAGATTACTGGATGCGATTCTCCCGTTTTTTTTTTAAAGAAAACAAATCTAACTTTCACTACTCTTTAAATGAGACCAATATCATATTACTATGGGCGCACAAATATCAAATTTGTCAAGGAGTTGCTAATGGGTGTACTGGACAAGAGTATTAAGA